TTCATCTCTACTGTCACAACGGATTTTGAAAGGGAAGGATAATACTTTTGACAAATGTCCAGATGGTTTGATTGTGGCCTGAGTCCTTTTTTTCCTTTAAAAAAAAAAGACCAGCGTCTGTCACGCAACCACTTTTATGGTTTCATAGTAATATGTTGTTCATGTGATTTTATTGATACAGGTTCATGAAATGATGAAGCTGGGCAGAAGTACATCTACATTTTGTTTAAAAGGAAATAGTGGAAAGACCTTTTTGAATAAAGCATTTCACAAAAGGAAGTTTGCTTCGTTTTAAATTAATAGATAGACTGTTCAAAATTAAGATGCAGTAGGACATTTCCTGGTGATATAAAGGAATACTTCTTTAAAAAATGCAACTTTTGTCATAATTTATTCATTGTTCCAAAACTTTTATGCATTCCTTTCCTCTGTACAATACAAAAGAATAGATTTTGATGAACACTGTCGAAGTAACATTGGACCCCAATGACTTTCATAATATGCATGAAAAAAGAGAGAGATAAATATCTTCTTTTGTGTTCCAAAAAATGAAAATTCTGTCATTTATTTACCCTCATGTCATTACAAACCTGTATGACTTTCTTTGCAGCAGAAAAGGAGATACATTTTGAGAAATGTGATTTGTGTTTCCTTTCTCTATACAATTTAAATTGGTCAAAACTCAAAACTGTCTGGTTACCAACATTCTTATTTTGTATTGTGCAGAAGAAAGAAGAAAGTCATACAACAACATGAGTGTGAGTAAGCGAGGACAGAATTTTCATGTTTGAGTGAACTGTCCCATCACGCTAGAGTTTGTTTCATTCACTTCCATGTAAACGTGGGAGACTGGAAACACAAACAAGCAGAGAGTTTCACCTTTCAATGTGTGCCAAAGTTCAAGTTTGGTGAACTCTGATCTACAAGTTCACATAACGGAAAGATGTTTGGCCAGTAGAGCATCTAAACAGATTTACTGACCTCTTGGTTCAATAGAAAACATATGAATTTTAAAGCTGCATGTTGTGCATTGTTGCGGGAAAGTGGAGTAAATGGCATATTTTAACAATAGAATTTATTATAATTTGAGGTTTATGTATTATTTATGCTTACAACCTTGTGTGACCTTTAGTGTGTTTCTACACCTGTGGCTACTGTACAAGGGCACTTGTATGAACTTATGGGGAAATAAATTCATACATCTACTGAAAATGACCTTGAGACCAGGTAGTTACCAGTTATGGCTAGGAAAAAATGAAGTCAGCCACTTTTGTTTGCAGATGCCACTTGGTTTAATATTTTGTATCTAACGCAATGACAGCCTGACCTTTTTAAGTGTCCAAATACTTTTGCTTTGGCTGTTGGATTCATTTTCCATTTTTTTATATTTTTCTGTTTTATGTATATGTATCAGCAGATGGAAAATGTGAAGACATTCATGTTTCAGTTTATCTCCCCCAGATCTAGACGTATCCCCCAGTTATGTTTTAATTACAATCAGTTAATATATCTCATAGCCTATATGAGATTAAAAATGGATTGACATTAAAGTCCTGCTTTTAACATTTCCCAAAAAGGGAGCTGGGGCAATTGAGAGAGTATGATATCTATTAATAATATGAAAACTATATTACATCGTCATGATTAAATGTCTGTCTGCTAGGTGCAAATTTAATTTCATGTGTTAATTGAGCTGAGCTTCATTCCGGTCCGTTGAATTGAGTGATGTTCAGAAGCTTCTAATTTGTAGTATCAAAGATCAGCGATCATAATATGATTTGAAACCGACTCCGCTGAAAACCCTCTGAACATTAAACCCGACTGAACATTATATTTTCAAGATGATCAAGCTCAGCATGGATTTGTTTTATTTTGCGGTGTAAATGGCCCTTTTATTGCCAGTTGACCACAGAGGCGAAATTTTCACACCCTTTTTTCTTTCCAGTCTTTACATGTTTTTGTTCTCTTTTCCCGTCTTTTGGGTCTTCATTATGTTAATAATATATAAATGTCCTCTTTTCCCTCCCCCCTTCTTTTCCTGTAGCAATTATTGAACCCACAACAACTAGTGCTGTCTCAAGTCCAGGTCAGTATATATGTCACATGCTGTACGCAGCTCAGTAAGGGATCCGAAATGCTGCACTAACCAAAAATGACCTCTTCTTCATTGCAATTTCTCCTTCTCTCGATTGGCCAGGATGCCTGCTGGCGTTCAGCTTTGTGTGTCGTCACTTTATTTTATTTTATTTTTTTCTAGGGCTGTCAATCAGTTATTTTTAAATCAAATAAATTACATTATGCATCAATTAATTAATCCCTTATCAATGTTTGCTGAGAAAGTATTTGTAGCCATGACTCAGCTCCTAAAAATGTCATTTAGAACCTAAATATAAATTTGCATTTACAAAACAAAATACAATGATTATTTATTTACATAAAATGTTTTTGCATATTTTAGTATGCTCTTCATTAAAACAAACTATTTTTGGTATTTGTGTTGGTAACACTAAACATATTTCCTGTATGTGTTATTTGTTAACATGTATGGCTGTTAAAATCAGTCAAACCTTTGGTTCATTCTCATTCTCAGTGGTTTACATTTTGAGTCTGACATTTCCAAAAGAGATGGTTCTCATTTCAGTGAATCATTGACTTGTAGTCTCAAGAATAATCCAGACTGATTCTAAAATGAATCAGTTGAATCATTTAAAGATCCAAATCTAAAAAATTATTTGTTAGCCAATTAGACATCAGGTCAAACAGAGATCAACTTTAGGGCATTACTTTTGTTTCTTTAAATGCGTTATTTAAATTGACAGCCCTAGTTTTTCCACTTGATTTCTTTGTGTTTCTTTGTGTTTTATTTCTTTAACTTGTGGCATTGCACAGTACAGCACTGACACCCCTCTGAGCGAGCACTGTGGCGTTATGGTGGGCACTGTCATGTGTAGCGCTGGGGCGAGTGGCTTTCCTAAACGCTGACTGCTTCTCTCTGGCTTCCTCATTCTCTGCTTTAGTGTGGGCTGCATGAAGGGCGGGATATTGCTAATACGCCTCCTCGACTTCTCTCTTTTATTTGTTGTCTGCCATTTTCTCTCCTCCCGAGCAGCAACTGACTCCGCCGTCTCTGAACGTCTCTCACTATCTATGGCGTCGCTGTGTTTTTGCTGTTGTGCTCCTTACTGAAATCACAGACCATGATATTCTATTTTTGGGGGAGCGTGGAGTTGTGTGTGTGCGTGTGTGTGTGTGTGCGTGTGTGTGTGTGTGTGTGTGTGTGTGTGTGTGTGTGCCTGTGTGTATTAAAGGGATAGTTCACCCAAAAATTCAAATTCTGTCATTATTTACTCACCATCATGTTGTTTGAAATACATATGAGTTTTTTTATTCTTGTAACACAAAAAGAACAATTTTATGGAATTGCATTGGTCGTTGTTGGATATATATCACCCAGTTTTGGATATTTAATTGTGCATTTTCATTTCTTCTATTTTTACATTTAGATTACCTTTGCCATCATCTATGTTCACTTAATTATCTTTAAAACACTAATATTTGAACAACACTGTTAAATTTATTCTCTAACAAAAATCTCAAAATTAATATCCATTTCTTAATATATATTTTTAAGATGCATTATAATGCTGGAATTCACTTGTTGCATTTAAAACAACTGATTTTAATTTTTTAGTGTTTTGTTATTAATTTATTTAGGCAAAATAGCATAGCATTTTAAAATGTAATCCCATTTAACAGTTATTGGTACAAAACATGAAAATAATTATTGGCTTAAGGTTACTGAAATCTGTTACTGGAATAACAGGTTACAGAGTGCACTGTTGGTTATAGTGTTTTATTTTTATTCATGTTTTTAAAAAATCTTAGTTTTTGAAAATGCCACAATAGGGTTACAGAATAAAGGAATTGCTTATCTTTATTTTACAGTTTTTGTTTTTTCAGTTCAAATGTGTTTTTTAGTCAGAATGATGTAAAATATTATTTTAGTAATTGTTATGCTTGTGTTATTTACTATAGTTAATAAAGTAAATGGTATGGTTTCATATATAACAGCCATTGGCCACCATGCTCTGTAAGATACTGCCAACAAAAAATCCATATCTGTCGACCACTAATCATAAGACTTCTGCACTATATTGCGCTATTATAGTCTTCTGAAGCTTACAATAGCTTTGTGTGTGGAACAGTCCAAAGCAAATGAATGAGTTGATCCAGTTCACAAAAACTGGCTGAATTAAAAATCTTTTTGTGTCCAGAATGACCAGTAGATTCTTCAAAATTTCTCCTTTTGTGATTCATAAAATAGAATAATTCGGATTTGGACCAATAGGATTGTGAATAAACGATAACAGAGTTTTTTTTGTTGTTGTTGAACTATTCTTTTAAGACATGCCTTTTAAAAGCCAGTGTGAAAATGTAATCCCACAAATGGGATACATTACTTCCCCTAATGCTTTCTCTATAGCACATGTACGGACACAATGCACACACTAAAAAAGTGTGTGTGATGTGTTGTATTGCATGACCGTTCTTAGTAACCACAATGAGTATCATTCAGCGTTTCAGATCTTAATGCATTTTCATACTCCATTTTACAGATATGCCTCTGTATTAGTAGGTATACCATTTGTATGGAATGGATATAATTAGCCATGGGGTCCTCTCACTGCCAGAGTTTAGACCTTTGCTAGTGTGTAGCCCTTAACTTTCATTTGATGCAACGCTTGCAGAACAAATGACAATTTCATGGTCCACTGCAGTAGCGGCAGTATCAATCGCTGAGATAAACTGTCTCGACGTCCCACTGTTCTTGTTTTGTTCCAAGTTCCAAATTGTATTTCTAGTTAATTTTGTGCTGTCCTAGTTGAGCGACTTGGCCGAGAGAGGATAGTTTGAATTCCTTGCAACAGGTCCACTACTTATTTGACAAAGAATATAAATGAATTAATAAATGCTAATTATGTTTTGACATCTCTTCACAGGAGGGTTGGATTATGTGTATTCAGAAAGAAGCAATACATACGGTATGCAAACGCAATGATGTATAGAAATGTATATGAGCGTATATAAGGGGAGACCGAGGCTAGTTGTCACGCAGGGAATTGAATTGGTTTTCGAGACAAGGGTATTTTCTTGTAAATGTCAGGTGTCACATGACTTTTGTACTGTATGTTGTAATTTTTTTATTACAATATGTATCGACCGTTTTGTTTCTCATAATTGTTTTATTGATTTAATTTAGCTTTAAAAAACTATGTTAGAATGGCAGGTTCTATTGTGACAGCTTATTGCCTCTGCCTTTTACCTGAACAATAACGGTGGAATTTAATTTAGATCTAATAGCTTTTTTGTAGTGAATACAAAAATGGAGGTTTGACTATTAGCCCCACTCTCCCCTATATATGAATAAAATCAAAGCATTGCACAATAGCTATTAAATCCATTCTTTACTTTGTATGTGTGAGACATTTCATATTTGCTAGAATGGAAACAGGAGGAGATGTTAGATCTTTACTGAACAGATGCTTGTCGATACCTGCTCATAGTTTTTTGGCGTGATTTTGAAACATTTTGGCCTTTCTTTACACATTTACAACTGCGCTTAAAATGGCTATAATTGACTGTGAAAATCAATCCCTTGTTCACATGCAGTGCGTGCTTTTCTCCAAACACGCTGCCAATACTTTTGTGTTTCTCTGCATGTTGGCTGAAATAGCAGCTACATTCAGACATGCTTTTGATTCCACTGAAAACCAACCTGTCTCTTATCGGTAGTCCTTCTGACAAATAGTTCAGACAGCTTCCACACAAAGTGAGATTTATGAAGCATTTGTGCTATTGGGATTCATACAAGATTTATTCGGTGAAATAGAGTGTTTCATTAAAAAAAAAATTTGAGAGCTCAGGCCACAACACTGAAGTTATGATTTATGTTTCCCTTGATGTTTTGTCACATGGATTGTACTGAAGTTGTTTTTTAGAGAAAGTGCAACCATAAATGATCGGATTTCCTGTTTCCCTATAGGTATATGCAGTGCTGGGTAGATTGCTTGAAAATTGTAATCCGTTACTGATTACAAATTACATGATTAAAATTGTAGTTAGTAACGTAATTTAATAATTAATTTAAATATTTTAATTAATTCGGAGTACTTTTTGATTACTTTTAAATTATTGTATACCATATTGATATAAAAAAGAAAATATATTCCATTCTTTATCAACAACATGAAATGTGACCCGTGCTGGCAAAATGAGTCGGGATGCGCACAGGCTAATTTTGAGCTACAGGCAAAAAAGAGTGAAAAATGTCGAATTGGTTCATTAAGCCTTCGTCTAGCGATCCCAATGCTCCAAATAGTATTTGAACAGCTAAAATTATCTTTATTTGTACGTTTTCTGAGAGGAGTACCTTTTCACCGCTCGCTTCTCGCGCTGACTGTCATCCGAAGCACCCGCATAAAGATGCTTCAGATGGCGCACAATCCCAATAAATATACAGAATTACAGTTTGCAAGTATTCACACAAAATAATCTTTTAAGGGAGAATGTGAAAATAAAAATAGCTCATTTTTTAAAATGTGCTCATTGTGGCTCATTTTGCCAGCACAGGTCACAAATGTATTAAACATTACACCAGGGTTTCCCAAAATGGGGTTAATGAAGGAGCGGCAGGGGTTTTTTTGATTTGAGGGAAAGCTATGATTAATTAAATCATAAAAATTTAAAATGAATAAATTATTTGAAAATCAAAACAATTAAACACTAAAAACAGAAATATTTGTGACTGTTAAAGTGATGTGAATGTTAAGACATTGAAAAATTCACTTATCTCAGGGGTCTCCAAGTAAATATTTTAGGTAAAAAGGGATTTGCTGACAAAAAAATAAAAAATTAAAATGCTGACAGGAATCCCTGCATTACACGAACAAACATGAAAACAGCAATGACATTACATGTTTAAAGTTTTCCAGGTTTTAAATATTTTTGTCGAGACTTTTGTCAATGTCACGGGTGCACTGCTGAGCGGACTGAGGAGCAAGGAACGGAGAGAGACAAGGAGTACATTAATCCAAATGGGTTTAATCAACACATGGAATACTCACGCTATACATGACATGAACATACAATACCGGACGCTGGAGCACACACACACACAGGGAACACTATTTATACACACAGGAGGAGGGGATGACGAGACACACCTAGGAGCAATGAAACATCAAGGGAAACACCTGGGACAAATGAACTTAATTAATCAGGACAGGAACAGGAAACTACCCAAATAAGGGCATAGGAAGGCACATGGGGAGCAAGACACACACACAAAACATGGAACAGAGTCTGACATAACGCCCCCCTCCGGAAGGCGTGTCCTCACGCCATATACCATCTAATGGGGAGGGAGGGGGGGTGGGCACTCTGGAGGTCCCTCAGGACAGACACGGGACAGTGGGCCTCCAGAGCGGTACCCGTTCCGGGTTCCATGGCGGATCCGGAGCCTCGGGAGGCCATGGCGGAGCAGCCTCCGAGGCCGCGGCCCCAGCCCCAGCCCCCGCGGCTGGAGCCATAGTACCCCCCAAAAAAATACTTGGAGAAATGTAGAGGGTTGTATTCGGGGCCTGGAGCCCTCCCTGGGCTGAACGGGGGGGTCAGGAGCCCTCCCTGGGCTGAACCGGGGAACAGGGTAGCGCTTACGTGGTGCTGGCACTGGAGGGCGATCTGGAGGAGCCGGCACTGCTAAGCGCATTCGAGGAGCTGGGACTGGAGCGAGTTTTGGGGCTCGAGCAGACACTGGAGCGAGCTCTGGGGCTCGAGCAGACACTGGAGCGAGCTCTGGGGCTGGAGCCGACACTGGAGCGAGCTCTGGGGCTGGAGCCGACACTGGAGCGAGCTCTGGGGCTGGAGCCGACACTGGAGCGAGCTCTGGGGCTGGAGCCGACACTGGAGCGAGCTCTGGGGCTGGAGCCGACACTGGAGCGAGCTCTGGGGCTGGAGCCGACACTGGAGCGAGCTCTGGGGCTGGAGCCGACACTGGAGCGAGCTCTGGGGCTGGAGCCGACACTGGAGCGAGCTCTGGGGCTGGAGCCGACACT